GTTGTCAACTGCAGCTATAATCATGTGTGGCCTGAATGAGTTTTGGTCTATGAAAATTTCAATATAAAAGAGCCCTTTTTATTTGTTTAAATAGTTGTGATAATTAATTAGGTTACTCTCTAGCTTTTCATGCAATGCTAAAGTACTTCAACTTGCCAGATTGGTCACAACAGTAGTTGATGTTGGCCCTCCTGCTGATTGGGTGAAGATAAATGTTCGTGAAACTGTAAGTTTATACCAGACTCATCTGAACTGTGAATTACCCCCATGTTAAGGTTCTCCTCCACTCTTTTCTACCAAATATTTGATGTTTGCTATTTGCAGAAAGATTGCTTTGAAGTTTATGCTCTTGTCCCAGGGCTTTTGCGTGAAGAGGTGTGTATCTACAGTGCCTAGTTTATTACCTGTGAACTTAGTTTGTTCTTTTGTGCTTGCTTTCAATAGTTCTACCCAGTTTTGGATGGAATTCAATATGCGTTGGGTGTCTACTTATTCTCGTAATCTTGTTGCTTTTGGATCTTCACATGCCTGGTTCTTTTTTTAAGTGAATATGAAGTATCATATGAAATGAAATTGGATCTCTGGTTGGCGTATTTCATGTATGAAAGTGATGTTGTGCTTATTGGTCTTGTTCTTTCTGCCCTATTTGAAACTGATTGATGCGATTATATTTGCTTCTACTCTTATATTTTGGTAAAATTAGGTGCGAGTCCAATCTGATCCAGCTGGACGGCTGGTCATTACTGGTCAGCCTGAGCAACCTGATAATCCATGGGGTATTACGGCCTTCAAGAAGGTATGCCTTTTCTAAGTATTAAAGTTGGAAACCTCTGATGCTTCCTTGTACAGGGATTTGAACATACCCATTTTTTTGTGCTTATGTCAGTAGATTTGTTCATTATTCATTGTGATTATGTGTCATTTGGTAGATAGAACTTGCCTGCTACTTCCAAATCCAGTTAGGTCATGAATATGTGGTTTCCTTGACTACTAATATTTGATTTGAGAAAAGATAAATTTGGTTTTCTGTGGCGACCATAATCAATATCTTATTATGTTATTTGAACTCCCAAATGAGAACTGAATTGATGTTATTGAGAATGAAACCAAATCTTATTAAACCTAACTATTTAAGAGCAGGATAGTGTGGATGTCTCTGACATGCAATATATGTGGCTAATGTCTAACTAATTACGGTTCTTTGGGAAAAAGTTACTATTTTAGCACTGGAGTTGTGGGGGGAGCTTAGTTGTTTGCACAAACGACATGTTGAATATATTCTGTCTACAACTGATACTATTATGGTCCACAATCTCCAATTCCATTTTTTGTATTTTCTTTGTGATGTTCCATAAATTTTTCTATAAGGTGATAGTATTTGTTTGTTGTAGCAAAAAATCAACTCTATTTTGATCTATGTTGCTTTTAAGAAACTCTTTTATAGATTAAGAAGAATCTTGTGGTAATTTGTGCATTATCAACATTTTGTGCTATTTCTTTTAGGGACATGTACATTTCGTGCATTTGATAGTCAGTTAAGGTATTCTTGGTCCAACATATTTTAGACATCATGGGCTTATAAAGAGTGAGATCGACCAGAGAGACTGTCACTGGATGTTAATATTTTGAGCATAAATTGTTGCTTTATGTTTCACTAGGAGGTGTCTGTGCTTTTCAGGTGGTGAGCTTGCCGGCTAGAATTGATCCACTCCAGACTTCTGCTGTTGTTAGCCTGCACGGACGGCTCTATGTTCGAGTCCCTTTTGAGCAGGCTAATACCTAAGTCGAGGTTTTCTTGGAACAACCGAATTGTTAGAGTTAGTCAAGAGGAATTGCTTGGGCTCATATAGTTCAAAAGCTTGTGAATTGAGATTGTGATGGCCGATGGGCTGATGGCTTAGGTGGTCTCTTTCTTTTCATTTTTTCCCCCTAAAAGTGAAGACAGTTAGATGCCCTTTTTTTTTCACTTAACTCCAATACTTTAGGTGGCTTTGTTGTAGGACCCAGAAATTTATGCTCAGTGGTTAGGATCAATCTTTGTTTATCCTGCTTTTCTGTAAGATGTGCGTTGTTAAACATGTCGACCAAATTAACTACACAGGAAAGCGTGATGGTAGGTTCGCTAGCATCAGTAACTTGGCTCTCTTTGTTTTAGGCAGAGGCAGAATGAAAATACTTGTTCTCTTCTGCTCTATTCTTTTGTTGTCTCGTCTGGTTCGTTAATAAGCAGAAGGTAAGAGAAAATATTATTGTTGTGCAATCTTCATTATTATCATCCATCTTTTGCTCCCTGACATATTGGTAGTCTCGATAATTCCAAAAAAAAACAACTAAAATGGCCAATTAGGCTAAAGCCAATATAGGTTGGCGCAATGATTCTCAGAGCGTTTTATAATTTAATGTGGAAACGGATGTTATAGATATGAAATTACTGCTTAGTGAATGTACACAACTTTGTTATTAGTGTTTATAGGCTGATCAGAGTACGCATATGACTAATCAATTCAGCTGTAGATTGATTGAGCAGACCCTGCTTCTATTGAACGTGCACCTTTGCAGGTGTATTGTCGTGAAATAGAGAGGATTTACAACTGGCTAAAGTTGGGATAGAAACTCATAAAGTAGTTCAGATTTCTCGCTCCCTTCGAAGCAAATATTTGCAGAGCGCCGCGCCGTTCAATCATTTGTCTTGGTGAGCTTTAGAACATCACATATTATAGACTCAAACTCGAACCCGTCAAACAGCTCAGGCTACTCGATCAATGCAACGCGTGTTCGACCTTGAACTTTGATTGAGCAAGCTTGCGAACTAATCATTCAATTGTGCTAAGACTCATTTGCATCCCTGCCCCCAGCATCATCATGCTTTGTCAATTGATCCTTATTTCAATACAACACAAGCAGCAGGCAACAGTTTATGGGTAACGTAATGCATGTAATCGAGGAATTTGAAGACTTAATTCTCGAATGGATTTGAAGTTCACCAAACTTTACCCATTGAAATTCCTTCCACGGGATGATGGAATTCAAATTCAAATCTCCCGTAAACCATCCAAGCAAGTAGGGGGATTTGGATTGAGAATTTGAAATCCAAAGCCACCCAAATCCCTCAATCAAAAAATAGCCGCATAGTTTTCACTGCCAGCACATAATTTTTCCCAGATTAGGAGCAATATACAATATGAACTCTTACCTCGCATTTTCAATTAACCTTTTTATCTTTTTGATCACTTTTTTATCTCACATACATCACACAGCATAAAAAGTGTTACTATAATTATTTCAAATAATCTCCTGTCCACACGGGTTTATGTTTAAACTCTGTATATACTCTTAATTTGTAGCTTTTATGTCTAAGGGATAAAAATGTGTTTAAACTCTAAAACTCACCCTTCTTCTAGAGGAATGTTGGGACTAAAGTTAATGCCCCACCATTTCAAACCATGCAGTTAGAAACCCGCAAGGCTATGTCTCTATTAATTTGGCTAACTACTGCCGGCTTAAAAGAAAAACACAAATGAATGAAATGAAAGAAAAGAGTCTTAGACGTCTTTGCCCTACTAAACACTGCAGAAGTAATCATCCAGCCGATAGAAAGAATCTAATGACGAAGTTTTCCATTGAAAATAAGAATTAGTTGCAGGGCAGCTTTCAAGGCGAGTGTCAATGACATATGTACTACGTGAACAAAAGAGGCCAAAAAATTTGAAAAGTACAACGGACACGAGTCCCAATGTTCTTATGACCGAGGGTGCATCAAAGTCATCCCATTGTAAAATTGCTTTGTCGCTCAAAAGGCAAATGTAAGCATGTCAATATACCCATGTCAATAAACCCTAAACCTGCAAACTGTGAGGAAATGATTGGGGAAGAATGAGTTGCTATTTTATCAGGCAATTAGCAAGACAGGAAGAAACATGATCCTTAAAAGAAATTATAAGAGGCAACTATATCATTTATCTGTTCATGCTGCAGCGAGACAAATTTCAGCATGCAAATTTTCTGGGAATGTTGGCTGGCCTGAAGTATTAGGTTATAGATTCACTGGACAAATAAGATGTTAAACTAACTGTGAAGCAAAAGAAGCTCAACACCCTTTGTCTGCTGGGTATTTGTAAAACAACATGAGGTGGTAAATGACATTTTGGATGCTCACCAAGAGGGGGAAAAAATAAATGACATCGTGCACACTTACCAAACGTGTGGAAAGAAAAATGACACTGTGCATGGACAATGCAGCATTACCCATGCTGAGAAAAAGAAGAAGCTTAATGCTATACACAGAAAGCAATAGGTTCAGATAAATTTAAAAACTCCATCTAGATCAAGGGAAAATCACATAAAAAATTAATGAAGCTATATCTTCCATTTCATTCAATTTTAAAGACAATATCTTCCCAGATAACAAATCCAAGTTCAGTAGTAGCCTGCTGGATACAAAGTAAATAAATGATGCCAGCAAATTAATTTTGTCGAAATATTAAACAATCTCAAACCACAAGAGTGTCAAGGGAAGGCACAAACTATAATCAGCCAAAAGCTTGATAAGTCTTCAAATCTCCAAGTAAGGGGTCACATTATTCATACAAATAGGTCTGCTAAACAAAACAGTGAAATTATCACACATTATAATCACAGTAACCCCATAGTTTATTACCTTATCAAGTAAGCATAACAAATTGAATGGAAAACCAACATCAAAAAAAAAACTTCAAGACCCTGACAAAATAGAGGATGTCTACCAATAAATATTACAAAATGGGCTTTTGACAGGAAAAATAGAGTTTCCAGAAATTGCGTAACTTGAAGACCATTAATTTTGAAATTTGAACTCGTGTTTATATAATGAGATCCAATTACTGGCATCCAATACCTTGATTTACCCAACCACATCAGACTCGCAACACCAATGCATAATGACCACATGTGTCATACTCATTAAAGATACCAAATGGAGGCTTGACTAATTATCTCGTTAAGACATTTAACAGTTCTTTGAATGAGCATAAGGCCACGCTGCACAAGGTATAACAAGATGGACCAGGGAAGCGTGTGGCGCAAATTTACTTTTTTGCAATTACTACTGAGAACTAAGTTGCAGAACCGGGGGGTGCCAAGTCAAAATCCACCATATTTGATATTACATCTATGATGACTTACATATCTAATCTCCACCTCCTAGTAAAGCAGGAAAAAGGCAGCATGACATCGCCAACATATTAAAATTTTCTCCCAATCCACTAAATCGAAGTAGTTAACAATGGGAATGCTGTGACCATCATCTTCAATAACATCATGTCTTGAACATAATCAATTTCCCTATCCCGAGTTATCGTATCTACAGAAATTACTCGAACTGGCTGTATCCCAAGTACTCTGTCCATCGCTTTCACCAATATAGATTCGCTCAGCCACCATTTTGACGCAACAAAGCCTGAAGCATAACATTGATAATTTCGCTTCATTTATTCACCGTCCTATTCCCCCTACTATGTTCAATCAGATGCTTGGAGAACATTCGACCGTCCCCAACCGTTTTGGCTCATGAACCATATAAAACAGTAAGATTACCATTGACTGTTTACAATTCATTTATCTTCTCCTCATGGTAAGTTAGTATACACCTGAAAAACATAGGAAAAGTGTCTGGCGCGGGTGCGAGTGCATGTGTGCATGCATCTTGTACGTGTACGAGGGAGAGCAACAGAGGAAGAGAGGGAGATAAAAGACATTTCCTGCATATATTCTATTTATTGCATTTCCTGATTTCAGAGTGGAGAACACCAATGTTGAACAGATGATCCCCACAAAAACATTCAGTTAGATAGTTGATAGAGGATAGATGCTGGTTGAGAAACAGTGAGAAGATGACTAGCAAAACAGAGTATCAAGCATGACAGTGTCAGAATTGGTGATATTATTGCATATTCAGTGAAATAAACAAGGTATCGGGCAGCAAATAAGTTTGGGAGGCATGGACATACTAGTAGTACATATGAAAGTTTGTAAAAAGTAGCAGCAGCAAATATATAACCGAAAATGAGGCACCGGTCGAAACCTAAGAAAAATAACTAACTTACGGTGAGGGGGAGAGGGGGCGGGCTGTTGCAAATTATTCTGGAGATTTATTGCTTCTATTCTTGTTACCGTATACCAATCCAGTATCCTGCGAAAATAGATAGGACGCGACTATTCCATCAATGAGGTGGATCAAATACTACATTTCGAAAGGACCCGCAAATGAAAAAAAAAAAAAGTTGAGGCAGGAGGGGGAGGTACCTGAGGATCAGGGATGGGTTTTCGTTTCTCGACGTAACGGTAAGGATCCGAAGCTGCAGCCAGCGCTGCCCTTTCCTTTTAGTGTGTATATATACAAAATATAAATTAAAAAAAAATCAAAATCCACAAAGAATGACAGAAAACTCCACAATTTAATTTTGAAAAATTGCAAGAAAAATAAAGAAATTTAGGGAAAGGGAAAAGTGAAAAGAGAGGGGAACCTCTTGGTCTTTCTTGAGTTGTTGGGAGGGCTTAATCCAGAGGAAGTAAGCTAGGGTTCCAGCCACCGCCCAGGAGGCCAAGTTGACGCGTCCGCTTAGACCTCCCATGGAGTTTCCCACCAATGACCTCACCCTTCTTCCCCACCCTCCTCCTCTGCTGCTTCCCATTTTCGATCGAACTTCAGAGTTTCATAGGATTCCACCAGTAGTAGTAGTAGGAAGGTCGAGTTTCGATATTTGTAGGTCTTACCGCTCTGTAGGAGTAGTTAGTAGTATCCGTAGTTAGTACGACGTAGTAAGTAGTTATTTACTCCTACATTAATATTTAGAGGAGTAAAATATTTTCAGTAGTTATTAGTACTCTCTCTCTCTGTCTCTCTCTCCTATTATTATTATTTACTCTTAATAATAATAGGAGAGAGAGAGAGAGAGAGAGCATGATTTTGAGCTTCTTTTTCTGCCAAAAAAGACCTCTCTGTAAATTACTACTACTACTATATATACATGTATCTGTCTGCAAATTGGGCCTCTCCGATGGCCGGCCGGGGGATCATAAATTACATGCGTGACCCACGGCAGAGCAGTCAGCAGGTGGTGACTTTTGTTTTGTCATCCATTATACAGACCAATTACTAACGCCGATGAGATATGTAAATGGTCGGTCCCTCTTCAAAATCGTGAAGCGGACGTAGTCCTGCTCCCACCCACCCTAATAAAAAAAACCATCCAACAAAACACCACCTCATCTTCCTCTGCCTATAATTGCAATTCAAACTTTCAATATATTACTCTCTTCAAATTAAATCATCTTCTTGTTATGATCACCACCGTATCTATTCCTATTCCAACTAACTAAAATGCTGCCTCCACCAACATTACCCCAAACTAACTGTTAAGGAGCAACAATTACACCAACCCCCAAAATGTTTGCTGATCTTCTTACTTCACACGTGCGACCCAAACCCGACTCGGCCCCGAGAGCAATAGCCGTGCATTCATTCTCTTACTAGTAAGTACTGGTATTGCCCATGTTAGCGTAGTAGTGTTCCTAGGAAGGAAGACGTCTTTGCCCTCTTTAGCTGTGCAAAAATCTTGTGATCAAAGTAAAAAGTCTCTTTTTAAGACTACACCCCCAAAAAAAAAAAAACTTTCAAACCATTTCCAAGACAATAATTAATTACAGAGACGAGACGAGAGGAGAGGAGAGAGCACTAGCGGCATGCAACTACTAGCTAGCACTTGGATGGATGGAGGTGTTTCAACCGTCCCCGGTGAATTGATGAATGTGATCTCTTTTTTCTTTTTCTTTTTTTTTATATATTTTGTTCGGGAGGAAGAGGGTGGGGAGGGGAAGGGGGAATGTTTCCTCTTCTTTCTGGCCCTCTCCTGACAGAGACAAAAGGGTGAGAGGGTCTACGTGCAGGCATATGGGCATCGCATCTTCCACACGCACATGCTTCCCTATACTTTACAGCTGCGACGAGCTCTTCTCCCCCACACCAACCATCCCGCTCCCCCCGCCCCAACCATAAAAAAAAAAAAAAAAAAAGGAAAAAAATAACACACACACACACACACGGGCCACTACTAAGCACCATCTCATTGTCTCCCCCCCTCATCTGGGCTCCATTTTTCCCTCCTGTCTTCTACTTCTCACAAACTTGCTCCGTTTTTTCATGTCTACGAGGCAATTTTGGTGACATCCCTGCTTGATCTGTTGTATTTCATGTGACTTTTGACCAGCTGCCCAGCTGCAATGGCTGACATCAGTGATAGCTCCCCGGCAAGTACTGCACCGGCTACAATCGTGGCTAGCAACCTGGCATTTGATCCTGGCGACTCTTTACTTGCCCCCTTCACCCCAAGCAAGTTGAGGCATGCCGACTGAGAAGCAAGTTGAGTTCCACCACCTACAGTACCAACCTGGGAAGAAAACAAAAAATGACGAAGCTTTCACAACATGACCAGAGATCCAGAAAGAAAATGGATTAAAATTATTGCTCAATTTAGTAAGTTATTTGGTTCATTCACCAGCGAGAACAAACAACAAAGCAGCTACACATTCTTTGCCAATGACATACGCCTGTTTTTTTTTTTCTTTCTTTCTTTTAGTCTACGCAGCTACACTGCATTGAGCTGCCCGACCAACAAAAATAAGGATTTGATACTATATGCCAGAATATTGAGAGGTATCAGCTACCTACATTGGCCAATAACTGAGTGGGCATCATTATTACTATCAAAACTTAGGAAGAAAGCGACCAAATACTGTTGTTCATGATACCTCAATGGAAGGCATTGTGACGGAGATGTGAAGATCCTTCCCATTGTTGACAGCCTCCATCATAGTGATGCAGTGAGAACTTTCAATGTTTTGTGCTGGATCCTGGCCAGTAGCTATAAAAACTGCAGAGACGATATTGGCAGCATGCGCATTGAAGCCACCAAGAGCACCAGCTACAGCAGAACCAGTAAGGTTCTTGAGCATGTTAAGCTCTACAAGTGCTGGTACGGTGGTTTTCAGTACCTTGTTGACTACCTCTTCACTAATGGTTGCCTCACAAACAACCGACTTTCCGCGTCCTTCAATCCAATTTACAGCAGCAGGTTTTTTATCAGAACAAAAATTCCCTGCATATGTGAGACAAGCTGCTGTAAGGAGAGCTTTCAACCTCATCAAGTCAGGAAACAAAGAGATCATAGTCGCCTAAAAACATGAATGTAACTTTTGCCCTCATCTGCATGCACCAGCCTTTGCCCCACTCCCCGCCCAGAACTGGTGTACATGGTCAGCTATTTTCTCTTATCAGCAAGCACAGAATAGAACAACAAGTCAAATTTCGACAATGCTGATTTCATAGAAAAGAAAGTAAGACGAACCAAAGTTCAACGAGTCAGAACAATCGAAAGTACCAGAGCCAACACGTCAGGCACAAAGCGACATATAGGTAAATGAAGGATCTTACAGAAACAAGATGGACTATGCAAATAAATATAAATAATTTGAGACTAGATAGAGTAAAAGAAAAAGCACGGATTTGCAACTCCAGCAGATTATAAGTCAACAAGAGCTTTACAAGTGATAATGCAATCAAAGCACTACTTCCTAATCTGAAAAAAGTGACTATACGTACTGAGCACTTGCCTGAGATACCAATAACATCCATATCGCTAAAATCACTACGAAGGAAGTCCAGAACATTCTGAACACATTTAGACACCATGTTCATTCCCATAGCATCTCCAGTGCTGCAGCTAAATCTGATATATAGATTTTTTCCTGCAATAGAGCATTGAGTACCCTGAAGCCTAGCAAATCTGCTTGACCTGTGACCCCGCCAAATAAAAATTGAACAATTAACACAAAAGGCAAGCAAACTAAGAGAAGCTTAATATGTACAGAATAAAAATTTGATCAAAAGGATCAAAGCATCTGGTCCTCCAGATGACGAGAAAGAGAGAAGAAGTAATAGCCATCAGGAGCGCAACTAAATACTTGACCCAAATTAATTAATTCCAGATACACCAAGCTTAAAGCTTGCAAATCACAAACAGCCTACTTTATCTTCTGGTACATGTCATGTTCATATAAAAGTGAAATACTTCAAAAGGCTGCAAGCAACCGAAAGATGGATGTGCCGTCAAATATTATGCTTTTGATGGTGTGCTGAACAGCAATGTCCTTGGAATCATGACGCACAAAGCAGAACTCAGCCTCGCTAAACCATCCCAAAAAAAGGGAATGGAATGAAAAGTAACAAAGGCCAAAAAAAAATCCCTGAAAAGTCCTCCAACAGTACTTACTGTGATCTCACACGCCTAATTCCCATCAAGGTCAGCATGGTTAATTTGGAACAGGAAAAGACAAGAAAATGAAGGCCAGGATGCCGACATAGCAGATCTACCTCTGCTACAGTTCTTAGGCTTCAATCCAACCTAAACTTTGACAGAATACGAATTTGAAATGAAATCTAGAGCCCCCAAGAAAAACAATACAGCGGAGAGGGTAACAGGAAAAGAAAACGAAGCTGAATTTTAAAAAGAGGGGTAAATATTACTTGATTAAAAGTAAAAAGGGAAAGAGAAGCTTACTTGTTAAAAACGAGCGCCAATGTATCGAAATTAAGAGGGTCCTCCAAGAAGAACTTCAAGTCAGTGGCCCTTTTGGCAGTGGGGAACCTGACAACAGGGGCTCTGGTCATCCCATCTCTCAACAGGATACCGGTGGCTCCTCCGGATGCATAGATGGCCTTGCAACCTCTGTTGGTACTGGCTACCAAACAGCCCTCCGTAGTGGCCATTGGCACCGAGTACTCGCAGCCGTTGAGCAACAGGGGCCCAGCAATGCCCACCGGAATCTGCACGTATCCAACAGGCATCTCGCAACACTGCCCCAGAATAGAGTCATAATCAAACCCGTCCAACGGCATACCGGAAAGCGACCTCCCAGTAATCCTCTGCACCGCCTCTCGGCGAATGGAGGCCGCTCGGAGACAATCTCCTAAAGTTGATTCCAAGGAGTAGGAAGGGAAATCGCCGGAAACCACAGAGTTGACGAGCTCCTCGTCTGCTTCTTCTTCTTTGGGGCAAGGGGGGTGGCTGATGCCGAGGGGGGTGGTGGTGGTGGGTGGAGGACCCTCCATTAACTTAGGCGCGGGGGAAGGGGAAATGGGGGTGGCGGAGACGACGGAGGGAAGGCGGCGGGGGCGACGATCTTCGTCGAGGATGAATCTTTCGTCCTCAACGTCGACGTCCCAGTGGTCGTTAGATGGGCGGGCAATGAAGGATTGAACAAAATCAATACCGAAAAAACCTAACAAATAAATGAAGGAGGCGATGAGAGAGAGAATGGCGGCGAGGTCGGAGAGGGTAAGGACGTGGAGAGGGGTGGAGTTGCGGATCTTGTCACGCCAGCGGTGGAGGAGGTAGTAGGCGACGGAGAAGAAGAGGGTAAAGAAAATGCCGTTGGTTAGGTAGAGAGGGAGGGGGAGGGCATCGGAGGCCTTGGGGGTTGGTGAAGGGGACCGATCCAGGACTCTGGCGGATGCGGAGGAGGAACCCTTGTTCTGCTGGTGGTGGTGGTGGTGGTCAAGTGAGTTGGTTGGAGGACCAGAAGGCTTTGGCGGTCTGCGGCGGACATCCATTGGTGGATGGGAATATTCCGGCGGAGAGAGAGAGATGGAATACTGAGTCTATTGAACCGAAAAGACGAACAAAAGAGAAGAGGGACGGTAAAGTTGTGGCTTTGTGGGAGGGAGGCTGAAAGGAAAGATTTAAATTTTTTGGGAAGAAAGGTAATAAAGTGAAATTAAACGGTTTTTTTTTTTTTTTTGCTGGGGATTTTTTGAGACTGGGCAAATGAGTTTTGGCCTTCGGGCGGAGGGGCGAAGTTTTCGGGAACATTGGAGGGTACTTATAGAGAGTACGGGGAGCATTTTGGAAGGAAGGAGGGAGGGAGAAAAATAAATGAATGCGTTAATTTATTAATTGCAGCGACAGCGAGTGAGTTCGCTTTTTCGCATTTCTGCTGCCAACTCCTCATTTCGATTAGAAATTTCTTCCAAAAACATGATCTACTGTACGTAGCACAGGTGTTCAGACTAGTTAAGAGTCCGCGCAAAAAGGTCACTAGGCATTGCCTCTCTTCTTCTTCTTCTTTTTTTAATTTAATATAAAACGAGTGCGAAATTGTCATTATGTCTTGTTTGGATTGCTTCCTTTTTACAAAAATTTTTGTTCCATCAACACATTTCTTAGCCACTTTTATTTTATCCCATATGCATTATATTCTGAAAAAATGGTGGTGGTATAGAATTTTTTTTTGTGCAAACTTCCCAAAAAAAAAAAAAGGAAGAAGAATGTATTCCAAAGGGACTTCCTAAAGTGATTGAAATTTCCAGTTTTGGTTGCAGCACTTTCTGTTAAATAGAGATGGTCACTCAACTTGTCATCAACCTATAAAAGGTACACTTTCCATTAGGTACTAATTCTCCCTACAGATGTCCGATCCATAGCCATTTACAATAATATCTAAACCTCATTTCACTACTAGTAGTTGTTGGATGAAGTGATAAGAAACTTGATACCTGTTGTTGTTTAAGTATTGTGTTGTGTATAGAGAAATCAAGCTATACCCATGAAGTATTGGTCTAGCGGCAAAAACAACAAATATTAAAAGTTCCTGCTGGATTCAAATTCCTGTATCCTCTTCTTCCTGCTTCTTAGTCAGGCCCAGTGCTGGCACTAGGGGTTTACACCCGAAAATAAACAAAATGAGTGGAGGAAAAAAAAAAAAAAAAAAAGCAGTTTGGCATAAAATCGGTTGGATCGAGTTCTAGTACCTGTAACGATTTCAACAATAAAAATCATTTGGCTATTGAGCAATTGTATGTACTTACTGCTTTTAAGTGCCAAGTGATTTGGTTGCAGGTTGAATACTGGAAAGCTGTGTGCAGAACTTCTTGCAGGCTGCAGCTCCTTTCCCTGAAGCTGCTGTTGCCACAATCAAATCCTAATTGACCCGAGAAGTATGAAATCAAAGACGAGAATTGTTGGTCGGTCGGACCATAAAGACAAGCATCAAAATAATCATTCTTCATAAAACTTTTGAGAGTGCCGAGGAATCAGATTTGTGCAATTAGGAATAATTTCAAAACCTCGCTTACATCATCGGAGTGAAATTATTGTTCTGTCCTAACACTTCAGGGTTATTACAAACTTTTTTTGGTACTCTTTTTTTTTTAAAAATAAAAAAAATGTGATTAATAAAAGTGAAAGTGCAGATAATCATCTCACTCCTCAAATTACTTGTTTACTGGTACTCTTTTTTTTTTTTTTTTTTTAAAATACTCTGTTTGGAAAGGCGGTTGCCAAATAAAAACATTTTAAAAAATCATTTAAATAAATATTATATACACTTACAGAGACAATGTATATATTATTTATGTCGGACCGTGTACATGCTATCACTACATTTGATCAATGATACATTGTAAAAAGTTGAATTTCAAATTCGAATGTTATATAAATTACATTCATAAATAGCTAACAGTGTAGAAAATACATTATAATCCAAATCATTTTGATTTTTTTTGTTACTTACATGTTATCGTATTTTTTACAATAAATACGTATGTGATATAAAATTTTTTGTAAAAAAAAAAAAGGATTTATTCATGTTTGAAATGCGTATACATTTCCTAAATCACGACGTTTAAAGGAATAAGTCATTACGACACCGATTTGATTCTTGGAAAACCATTAATCACAAAAATTGATCCAGAAAAGGAAAATGGAGAACAATTATGCAGGGGAAGGGACCACATCAAACCCCTTCCAAGCTGTGCTGCAGCTTGTAGAATCTCTAACTGAGATTGGACAGACAGTACTGGATCAGATTGGAGACGCAGATGTGAGTTTGTGTGTGTGTGTGTGAGAGAGAGAGAGAGAGAGCATGCGAGCCCACCGATCCCCCCCTCGAAACAGCCCCAGCCCCAGGACCGAGAGCAGCTGTGGTTGTGTTGTTGCAGATTGCTAGTGCTAAAGCCTTTTTTTTTTTTTCTCCTCCTCCTTCAATCTTAAATACAGTAGTAGCAGTAGTTGGGAAGGAGTTAGAATAAAACTGCTAGCTATTAGAGTATCTTCCTCTAAAAAACTACTAAAGTAGTACTACTACTTATAGTTGTTGTAATCCTGTCTGTGAAAAGAAAAAAAAAGGAAAAAGAAAGGACCATGAGCCCCCACCCCCCCCTCCTCCTCCTCCTCCTGCTCCTCCAGCAAATAATCCTCCTCCTCCTCCTCCCCGCGCCTGCCCATGCCGTTGCCTTCTTCTTCTGCTTCTTCTCTCTGTCCATGACTATGATCGCAATCATCATCCTCAATATTCCTATTCCTCGACCAAATCAAAAATCAAAAACAAATCCCCCCCTTTTCCATCCCTCTACTTTAATCAACTCCGCAACCGCTACTTCTCGCTTCCTGCTACTACAACTGTTACACCACTGTTAACTCCTATTACTACTACTACTACCGGTACTATAGTTATTGTAATAAGTAGTAGTAATAAATACCTAATAAAATTTCACCTTTTTCGCCAACTCTTCCTATTCTGTTCTCTTGTACAGCTGATCCCCCCTCCGCACAAACCCCACTTCCCCTTCTTTTGACCTACTCCTCCTCCTCCTCCTCCTCCGGCCTTTTTCCACCTCAGTTTTAGTTTTTCTTTTTTCTTTTTTCCCCCACCCCTGATTTGGCACCCCCCTTTTCTTTTCCCCTTTTCCCCACGCACAGCTCTCTCTGCGTTCTATAGACACTACTGTTTCTTCAACTGATCGAATATTCAACGGCTTTGTTGGGTTTAATTTGGAGGGGTTTATGTAGGGGTTTTTTTTTTTTGCCCTTTTTCCTGTTTTGATTGATGTCAAAAATGTTTATCTCAGGACCTATCTGGTCGAGACTTTTTAAGTCTAATAGTCATGGTTAGTACATAGAAGTAGTAGTAGTAGTAGTATCACTCGTAATCATTTCCAACGCTGCTTTTCCTAAATTAAGATTATATTTTCATACTCTTCGTTCTCCGAATCTTCTCCTCCCTGTTCTCTCTCTCTCTTGCTCTCTCCCTGGTGGAATCCAATCAAACCCTCTCTCTCTCTCACCCCTTCAAAATAAAAGGAAACACAAATTCCCCCTTTTGGGTTTCTTTTCTTGATTGTCATATTCAATGGCGTATCAGCAGCAGCAGCCCCCACCCCCGGTTCCGGGTCCGGGCTCGGGTTCCAGCTCGGGTTCTGGGCTTCAATTTCTCAATTCTCCGTTTGGGGACACCACTTTCACAAAGGTCTTTGTTGGAGGCCTGGCCTGGGAGACTCAGAGCGATACCATGCGTCGCTACTTTGAGCAGTTTGGTGAGATTCTTGAAGCTGTTGTTATCACCGATAAGAATACTGGCCGATCCAAAGGCTACGGCTTCGTGAGTGCTTCTTTGTTTTTCTTCCACTCTTTCTCTTTCGTCCTATTTTCGTCAAAACATATTCAAGAAAAATGCCCTTCTTTTTGTAAACTTTGTTTGCATTTGTTGGCGGATCCAAACATTACCTCCCCCCGCCTCCCGCAGGAAAGAATTTACGAATGTTTTCCTGATTCATTACAAAGGAATGATTTTTTTTTTGGGAGGAATCTATTCTTTTGAGCTAATGAAATGTTACTGGCAGAATAACTGCTGCTTGATTTTTACCTTCCAATGTCTGTCTATTTTCTTTATCCTGGTTATAGATTCATAATTCAGTTTCTATCTTTGCTTTGGGACTTTGGAATGAATAATTATTCAATTGACATTATTTCCCAAATGGTATTTATATGGAGTGTTTAGGTGACTTTCCGGGACCCTGAATCAGCTAGGAGGGCATGTGCCGATCCAACACCAATTATTGATGGTAGGCGTGCTAATTGTAATTTGGCTTCATTGGGGCGACCTCGGCCTGCTTTGCCCTTTGGTAATTCTATATCATCTTAAAAGCTACGTGTTGTTTACAAGCCTAGATGTATATTTTTCTGTTATTTCTCCATTTCTGAATGTCTAAGTCTCTCCATTAACATTTTAAGGTTTTTTTCCCTATGCTGGAACGTTGTTTTCCATACTACCTGTTTCTTAGTTGTGGAAACATCTAATTGGATATAACTAATTTGACCAGCAAAACTGTGCAAAAGTCATTTCAGAATTATAACTTATATTTACTAAATTTTTTGCCTCTCCTGTTTCGGATACATTGTAAACATATGCTGCAACATTGTAAACATATCGATGTTGCCAATTGTTGTAGCCTTTTAAATTTAAAAGAATAAATAGTTGTGATCCTTTTTTTGGGGGGTGGGGAGAATTAGAACCAGCTGGGCTGTATTATTCAGTTAGTCTTTGCTTGGAAGCTAGTTCTTTTCTGGAATTTTCTACGTGAATAAAGAGGCAAATAATTATGGCTGCGCTGACAATAGTCACGTTTGCTGGTACTTGAAAAGAGTGCTAAGATTGAAGAAAGCAGATAGAAATATCTGTAGGAGTACCCAATGTTCAATCCACAAACAAGAACAATTTTATATGCAGTCATGCATATCAAATAAAAACAGTTGCAGTTTGTAGAATGATTGGGGAAAATTCAACTCCTGCATCCATTGATTCCCATTTCAACATGTGGATTGACAACTGTCTATCTAATTTCAGACAGTTACGATCAATTTATTCTTGAAAAATAATGACAAATCATTTAGCGCCATGAGGTACAACTGTTTGTCTTGCTAATTCCTTCATTCTCCAACTTGTAGTGTGTTATTTTATGCTTCTACTGGTCACAGGACGGCTTAGATCACCAACACCTTACCTTGGAGGTCTTCCAGCTAATAGAGGCGCCTATGTTGGAAGTTTTGGGTATCAGCAACCAGTTTCTTATGGCTATCAACAAGGCTTGATGTATTCTCCATTTGGGTAAATTACTTTGACTTGGCACTTCTTGTGCTATTCTGTAGCTAGATCATTGGCTTGTGGATTAACATCCTGATTTTCAGGAGTTACATGGTCAGCATGAGTGGACGAATAATAGGTGTGAATGCTCCTTGTTTTCCAGTACAAGTGTTATATCTTGGACTTGAACAGCATCTTTGGTGAAACTACAATTTTTCTTGTCAAATTCTGCTTCCAGAAGAGATAAATAAATAAGGAAATCAAACACCCCTACCCGAGGAAAAAAGAAAAAAGCAGTAGAGGAGAAAGAAAGCTAGGACATTTTATGTTTGAATCAGTGATTTCTCTGATTTTTTTCTTGTTTGATGTGAATTATCTTGTTTGCTTGACAGGTGGCTTTAATTTTGTACATTGGTTACTACATGCATGACCTTTCTTGGTGTTTGACTATCTCTTGCAGCATATCATGCACCTGCATGGTATGCTACTGGTTTTTCTGGTTGCTGCTTAGCTAGGTCCCGTCTGATAACTGGACAATGCTGCATTAAGGCTATGTTTGGATTGTAGTTTTCTAACAGAAAATCCTTACATTTGTTATGTTTTCCATGAATACATTTTCCAATCACCTTTTTATCTCATATACATGTGATGAATTTATTGAAGTCTATTAATGTTCTGTTCTCAGCTCTGTCTGTTTAAAGTTATGCAACTTGTTATTCATACTTGTATGTGTAGCAGCAGACCTTGATAGGGGCCAATCTGGTTGATTGGATCATCATCGTTGTCATTCTCCCTCCTGATCTATGTACCGTTTGCATATAGAAGAAAAGGGGCTAAATGCAGTGTGACTGTATCAAATAATTTGCATATAGAAGCAACATTGAGTTTCATGCTCCAATTAGAAGTGACTTTATTGGATAATTTAATATAAGGGCTAAATGCAGTGTGAATTTTTTTTTTGTTTTACCTTTTCTAGGTTTCTTCCTGTTAATAATTCAATGTAATCTGAGCTAAAAATCCATGCTGCTTTATAGTTAATTGAATGTACTTCAGGTAATGCAAATTTCCTACTTTTTTTTTTTTTTAATCAATTTCAGGTATGCAACATACAGTCCAGATTATGTCTATCCTCAGGTGAGTAGCATGGTAAAATGTCTAATAAGAGTATTCTGTATTTCAATGATAGAAAGATACAAAGCACCCTTTTGTATTTGATTATACAAGATTTATCAAACCGTTGCTTTTGGTGCTAACATTTTTCATTTTGCCTTCATAGGGTGTTTACAATCCTTATGGGGGGCAGCAGTACGTTCACGTATATGGTCTGCCTGGGACTGTTAATACAACTATGTATCCTTACAGCCAGATGGGTCAGACAGTTCCTGGGAGTCATAGTTATGCAGCATTGCAGGGGTATACAGTGCCCAATCATCAGCTTGTGCAGTTTGGGGGGCCTAGCGTCAATGCTATGACTACATCATCTATACCAACAATTCAGGCCCCCTATCCAACAGGTATCATGACTCCTTTGTAAAGAACTTTTATCTGTTTTTCTCATTCTTCTCTCAAGTAGGCCTCCACTCTCCCCATTCCCTTCTTCCCCACCCCCCCCCCTTCCGGTGTGGGCCAACTTTGTAAATTTCCTTCTCATGTTTCTAATCTATCTTATCTTTACAGATCTTGCTTTGTGTTTCATGCATAGATAATTCTATGATATCTAGAATGCAGTGCATTTTAATTCGTTCCAGTCTCTAGATTCTCCTTTCCCTTGCATTAGTCTTAGGAAGAGATTCTCTTTTTCCTCTTTTTTTTTTTTTTTTGGATGGTGGTGGTTGTTTTCCCCCTTTGTGAGTTAGTAAGCATGTGGTTTGTTTCAATATTCTGACTTTGAAATATCAAGTAGGCAGATGTAATGAGGCAATGTTTTTTCATTTTAGGTATTGCATCACCTGTTCCACCACAGCCTCAGTTTCTACTTCCTGCTCATACTCCTCAGTTCATGCAAGGTAGCGGATCTGACCAAAATGCAGGGTGAGGGGTTTATAAAGGTAGGTGGCACAAATTTTTGTTCGGGCATAACACGAATTTTATTTTCCCTTTTTTTTTTTTTTAATGATGTATATATTTTTTTCAGTTACCCTTAGATTGCAGCAGGACTAAGAGCAGCAGTACTGCTACTTGAGTGGCGGGCTTCGTATCTAGCCTTGCAAATTAATCATTTTGCATTCTAGAGGTATGTTGTTAAGACTCGGTTCTCTTGATAATTATTATTAATATAGAAATGAGGTGGAAGAAGTCAGGAGCATTATGTTGTGGTGTAAATTGACATGGAGTAAAACGAGAAAGGTTGATATTTTGAAGTTGTCAGAGTTTCCGAGGCATCATGTTTTCATATAGTACTCTAGAATTGTGTGAAGAGCGGTGGTGCTGGCTTTTGCCTTTGGGTACACACCGAATCCACTCTCTCACAGGAAGACAAAAGCACACCAAGAATCAGCAGTTGATTTTGAGTTGCAATTTTCTTTTTCTGGATTGGTGTTGATGATGATGTCTTGTCCAGGAGGGGAGGGTTTCCCTTTGTCCTGGGCAGCTAAAATTAAATCTTTGCATCATTTACCTAGCCGTTGAATTTATATGGGTGACATCCCAGGTAGAAATGGCCTGAATGCCTAGAGCGAGAGAGTAGCCTGGGGTTGGTAGGATTTGAGAACTAAGTTGAAGATGTAATGGTTTGTGAATGTTCCTTCCTCAAATGCATGGTTTTTTTTTTGTTTTATTTTAATGATGCAGGTCATATGTAATCATGCTCACCAGAGAAGTTAAATGTTGGGAGTCGCTCACCAATGGTGGAGAGAGGACCTGGAAGATGCACATAGCAGCTCTTTCAGCATCAGCATATCAGCATCAGCGTCATGTATGTAAACTGTTGCATCCTGTCAGTGGAAGGGATGACTGGCAGAGAGGCATCACCAACCAAAATCAAGGGATATGCTGCTGGAATTGGTTTCCAGCGCGCCCGAGTAGTAGGGAATAATAAACCCATGTAAAAAAGAAAAAAAAGAAGAAGCAGTGTAGTAGCATTGTGGTAGAATCAACATATGATTCTTTGCTAGTCAGAAAAAAGAGTCCCAGCATTTTGGGTCTGTAGATAAAAGTCTGTGGTGTCTCCAAAGTCCCATACAATATGGGGGTGGGGGTGGGGGTGGGTGCGGGTGCATCGTGCATTGGATGCAAAAAAAGAGTCGGTGTCCCGAGTCTTTCTTGTGCATAATAACTATATATATATAGTTCCGAGTCGTGCTGGACATTAAATTCTCTGTAATTTGGATTTATTTTTAGATGCCAGACTTCCAAGCCTGCAATGCATATTGCATGTAGACACTATGTATGTGGAAGCCGAGCGAGAGCGGTTGGTATGAACTAAAAGCGCGCCTAGAGTCTCACGCTATTGTTGGTCGGTCATCATGTAGGAGTGATTATTGGTTTTAACTTGGTATGTGTTCATTTTCTTTGTATTTTTCTTTTTCTTTTTCTTTTTCTTTTTCTTCTCTGTCTGTCTCTCTCTCTCTCTCTAAAATGGATGGCAGCAAAAAAGAAGGCCATCTTGGGTCTATATCCTCAGTTATAGAAATTACGAATGAGACTCGTTCAAAGTCAAATTAAATTCGTCCATTAAGATGGATCCGACCATGATGATGAATGTTACTAAAATGTCAATTCTCGCGTGACCCGATCGATCGATCGATGGGCTAAATCTTTCACTTTGCCCAGTTTGAAACACAATGCGTTGAAATGGCGCAAATTCTAATTCCTTTCACTCTTTGTTTGTGTGTGTCAGTGTGTGTGTGAGTGCGCGCGCGACCGTGTGCTCTTGAGTCGATTATTATTATTATAATAATAATTTGACGGATGGGCGGACGGTGTGGACATGTGATTGGATTGGGCCAAATAGCCCATTTGGCGGAATTCAATCCGGCTCCAAGGGGTCCAGTCCAACAAGCCGAGAGGGAATTACTACAACCTCAGACGCAGGGGTTGGAGGCGGAGGTTTGGTCGGGTACAGTCCGGGGCCGTTTCTCCTGATCGTCTTGCTGTCGACAAGTGGACGCCTCCTCCCCCACTCACCGGAAACACCTAGCTACTAATAGCTAGTTTGGGAGATGAGATTTGAACAGAAAAGAAAGGAATAGAAGAGAAAGACTGGATCTCCCACGTTTGAGAGTTTTAAGTGAAAGGAAAGGAAAAGAAACCGACGGAATTGAAAGGAGGAAAAAGTAGCTACAGTTTAAAAAAAATTTCCGGCCCAAATCGGGCAGAAAGCAAAGGAAAGCACGGAAAGGCAGCAAAAAGTTTTTTAAATTGCCCATTCTACCCCTAAAAAGCTGTTGAATGAAATATTTATTTACTTATGTGTCCAAAATCACTTCTTTTCTTTCATAAACTCCCAAACAACATTAAAACCTCTTCCTTTCTTTTCTTATCTTTTCTTTTCTCTCATAACTTAACCTTTCTCTTCCTTTCTTTTCTATCCTCAACTCACAAACTAGCTATAAGAGTAAAGGGTTATTATCTTCTACAAAACAACACAGCTGGACATGGGCACCGACAACAACCACCACCATAATAACGATACCACCATCACCACCACCCCCGCAACGCTCGGTCCTAACATCAGCAACAACAACAACAACAGCAGCAGCACCGCCAACAACAAGTCACCTCCCAAACCCCCTATTAAGCCTGCTGAACCCCCCACTCCTACTACCACCACCACTCTGCAACCATTCGGCTCCTCCCCCAACACTGCCGACTCCGACTTCATCTCCATCCCCAGCTATTCCCGTAAGTTTAACTAATCTTCCTGCTCTTTTTTTCTCTTTACCTTTCTTTTTTCTCAACCCTTGGTTCGTGTAATAACTTTTTCCTTCCCCCTTGGATTTTGTTTTGTTTGGGACTGGACTCTGGCGGGTTGGACTGGGAGGTGATTGGATTGTTTATCTCGTTTTGTTTTGTTTTGTTTTTAACGAAAAAGATTTTTTTTTTTTTTTTTTTTTTTTAAAAATGCGTATTCCATCTGTGTAGGATGGTTTAGTTGGGACAACATCCACCAGTGCGAGCTTCGATTCCTGCCGGAATTCTTCGACGGAAGATCAGCCTCCAAGAACCCCAAGACTTACAAATACTACAGGAATGCCATCATTCAGAGATTCAGGGACAACCCCTCCTCCACCCCCACCAAAAAAATCACCTTTACCGAAGTCCGCAAGACCATCGTTGGAGACGTCGGCTCCATTCGCCGGGTTTTTGATTTCTTGGAGGCCTGGGGTTTGATTAATTACTCTCCCTCTTCTTCTTCCTCCTCTTCTAATAAGGCTGCCGCTGCCCCCCAACAACTCTCCCACAATGACAACAAGGACTCCTCCTCCTCCGCCACCAAATCTGCTGCTGCTCCTCCTCCTCCTCCTCCTCCTGATGCTCCCCCCTCTGCCTCTGCTGATAATTCTACTACTGCTGCTGCAGCTGGCGGCCCGAAGAAGAGATTGTGCAGTGCCTGCAAATCTCCCTGCACCATTTCTTGCTTTACTTCAGATAAGGTTGTTCCATTCTGCTGCACTACCACTTGGGACTAGCTTTTATCTTTCTTAATACCCTGGACTGCACATTCCTGCATTCTTCTTGCTTGCTTCTCTCAACTCGTCCTTTCACAATGCTAGATTCTTTTTATTGCTTGCCGGTGGTTGATTTCTTGCATAGAGTTTGATCCAATAATCAGAACAACATTGCTATGTCTAGTAATTACCTACAGCAGTTCTGCACCTACTCATGCTATAGAGCACCATTTTTCTCTGACTTGTCTTTCTTTCATTTTTGAATGCAGCACAATTTGACTCTTTGTGCAAGGTGCTACGTCAGCAACAATTTTAGGGTTGGAATCAGTTCTACAGATTTCAGAAGGGTCGAGATTAGTGATGTCGTAAAGACCGATTGGACAGACAAAGAAACTCTCCACCTACTGGAAGCTATCATGCATTACGGTGATGACTGGAAGAAGGTAGCTGAGCATGTTGGTGGTGGTAGAAGTGACAAAGACTGTGTGGCTCGCTTTCTTAAGCTCCCCTTTGGTGAACAGTTTGTTGGGGCTCCAGAATCTTCCGAGATGGTGGATAATCAACTTACCTCAAGAGGTTCATCCTTCCAAAACAAACGGATGCGACTTTCACCGCTTGCAGACGCAAGCAACCCAATTCTGGCTCAGGTAAAAGCTACAGTCTTCCATTCTTTAAAAAGTGCAAGGTTATTGAACCCCATGAAATTTTTCTGGTGAGTTCGCTGAAGACGAGCCTTTATCCATAGATTTGCTGCCTAGCTATGTCAAGTCGTGCTGGTTTAGAAGATTGACAAAGGCTGCATTTGTCAAGTGTAACTACTGTATTGGGAACATTACGAGAATGACCTTAAGTAAACTAAAAAACATGCTTCTTTTTTATTACAAACCTAGTAGTTGTTAAAAGTGGAAGGCTTGCTTTTGGTTTTGGTCAATTTCATCAGAAGTGGCTTCATGGTCCTTGACTTCTCACTGCACTTATCTTATTACTTAAATTCTGCTCATGTATCTTCAGTTGTTTCTGCTAATTTCCTCAGGCTGCTTTTCTTTCTGCTCTGGCTGGGGTAGAGGTAGCAGAAGTTGCAGCACACGCTGCTGTGACAGCCTTGTCTGATTTTGCTGGTGTAAAAATCAAAGCTAATCTGAAATCTGTTCCTGCTGATGCAAAACAGCAAGGTATGTTCGACTTTTTGGGAAAGAGTGAGTTTATGGTTCTTTTGTTGTTCCAACTCTCCAGTCAATTCTAGGGAGAAAGGTGAAATGTGTTTTACACAACTTGTTGTAAATAGTTTAAAATGCCTCCTCCTAGATGATTGTCTCTGTTAGGCCTCTATATTGTGGCATGTAAAAGTTCCTGGCACCTAGCTATTCGGTGGTAGTTGAACTTTGTTGGTGTGAGAGAATCTGTCGAGTGAGGTTGCACATCATGGAGTGTGATTCTAGAATTGTTCATAAGCATTTAGATTGAGATCCCTGCAGCCAGTGTTGCTTCAAGGAGCTTGTATGCAGGACAATTGTAGCACTAGCTGCTTTGTGCAAAAACTGTAAGAAAAATTGCTAGTAAAGGATAAGGCTGAATGCTAGTATTGCCCACTGCTTGAATCTGTATGCTCTTGGCAAATTTGCCTGCTCTTCTACGAGATATGATATGGCACATGACATAATATGGCACAAACAAATGAAGAAGGAATGTAAGATGAGTTCTCACATACTTCTAATCCATTGTCCTGAGTAGAAACAAATAGGGCCACTTGATATAACTGGAGCATCTAATTTGCAGATATACTACTGATTCTTTGTTTGTGCTGGCAAGAATACAGTTAGCAATCTAACAGTCTCCATAAAACTTATTTGTTACAGGTCAGGATTTGATTAATGCTGACCTAACAGATAAAATTGGTCCCACGTATTTATATTTCTGAGTTTTGATGACTAATATCATTTATGTTTTGCTTTTCCTCCATTTGGTGTGCTATGCACATACTGTCATAACCTTCTTGTGCTAGTTATATAATTCAGGAACTGGCAATTATGTCGCCATGTACCTCAGTGCTAATCAGTTTTTTCCAAAGATGATAAATTTTCTTTTCTCGACAGATTTTGACGTTGCATCTCATGGTGACACTGCATATAGAATGGATGGTGCTCTTGCTGAAGCACAATCTGAGCTTGAAAAGGAAGAAGAGGATGTGGAGAGAGCCCTTTGTGAGATAGCCGTTCAGGTTATGTTTGTTGGGCATTATTATTATTATTTAAGATCATGGAAATTTCTGCAAGTAGGGTTCATTATCTGACTTTTATGAGGACAGAAATTTGCTTTTGCTGACACGCATAAGGTGGATTTGTTGTCACATGCTTTGCAGACGAAGGAACTTCAAGACAAGATTGTTCACTTTGAGGAATTAGACTTACAAGTGGAGAGGGAGAGCCAACAATTGCAGCAGCTGAAGGATCTGCTCTATGTTGACCAGTTAACTTTGCTATTTTATAAGGCCGCAGCACATAAATCAGGAGAAAGCATGGTGGAAAGTGTCAAAGCAGAATGATATGCGCACAAGATTAAGCCCTTTTCCACCATATGTGCTTCCGTGAGCAACATACGTTTTTTGTTATCCATGGAGCGGCTAGTTCCGTCTGCCCGAAAGCAGCAACTTTGAATTGTTGCCGAGAGTTGTACTTGCCTAGTTAGTTCCGAGACTTTTTCTGTGCTCTCCTGGTGGGGTCTCTCTCCCTTTACTAATTTGGGGATTTGATCCGTGGAAGAGGAGGGACAGGAATGGTTGCAATGTACAAATTTCTAGACGAGTTTTAACATGTGACAAAAGGCTCTCTTTTGTTTATTATTTATAAGAAAAAGTGTAAATGGATTCACAATTACGGTTCAAGGCATGCCTTCGAAATCTTAGGTCGTTTATTTGGATTTTTTTTAGTTGTCTATTAACACACTAATACAGCTCTCGTGTCGATAGCCAATGTTTTGTGAGAAGGTGATTTGTTCTTATCAACAAAATTAACTTGTACGGTTAATGTGTTACGGGTGTAAAAACTCAGTACTTTTATTTTGAAAAGTGTGTGTCAATAGCATTAAGGTTGCGTCGTGCTATCCGAACTGCAAACACTGATCTGGCAAAATGTGGTCCCTGAAAAGGCCATGGATAAGGAAAAAATAGGTTACTTTTACATTTCGGGTTAGAGAAGTTGATTGCGAGAGGCCAATGATGTCTAGGTTAGATTGGTCCATGAATGTCGAACCTGAAAAATGCCGGCAATGACAATAATAATACTACCATCTCATTCTCATCTTTCAAGGTTACTTAACCCAATCGGCGCCTCACCGGTATGAGATGAGAATAATGGAAACAGGAAAGTTTCTTACCGGGGAAATGGCGTTGTGTTTGGATTGCATTTTTCATGATTTTTCATGGAAAAATTAGTATAGTTATTTGATGTATGTGAGGGAAAAAGATAATAGGGAAATGTGATCACGGAAAATAATGTAATTTTTTGACGAAAAACTGCAATCCAAACAAGGCACAGCTAGTGGTTGTAAAGGAAAACAACACTCCCTTTTTTTTTTTTTGGTCGAAACGATAAGTTGTAAAGGGAAGGGTGCAACACGAGGAAAGCAACACTCGTTTAGGAGTAAAAACTTCTAATGCTCGCATAAATAAACAAGAGTACGTGCAACTACGCAACAGAATGGATGTTACACCGCCATTAATGTGGTAAGGGCATCCTCATCCACCGCCATTAATGTGGTAAGGGCATCCTCCTCCTGAACAGGAACACAAATAGAACCAAACCATATGCTTGGTTTCAAACTCAAAAACTCATTTCGAAAGCTCGAGAGTCTCGAAAGTTCCTGCTTTATGGATACAAGCAAAGCACATAAACGCACAGGTACTTGGTTAACAGAGCAAAAAACGTCCCGGGAAAGTTCATGTCATGCTTATTTCTTACAAGGAAATTGCACACTAGTAGTATAGCATAGTAGTCACAACACTTCCACAACATATCTTGAAATTTTCCGGGATCTATCCAGTTTAAAGCCTAAAAAACTGTGTGCTGAGTTTGTATAACACGAGTATCTGAGTTGCTTTTCGAGTTCTGCAGATCAAGTAAGCCAGTCCAATTTGAAGTAAACAACAAAATCTACATGCACAAGACATTTGATATAAAATTGGTATTTCAAAATAGGAGAAAACGGCTCATTTTGAGCATCAGTAAGAATCTACTCACCTATTTATTTAGCACTTGGACTAAACAAAGGTCCATCTAATTCAAAATGGCCGACAAGTCCCCAGAAAATAGAACTTCACCTCCTTACATTGAAATGCAATGCTGGATTTAAAGTTTCCATGCAACGTGTTCTTCCACCAAAGACTTTAAAAATCGGATTTCCAGCCTAATTATAATGAACCTCATTTGCAGCAACTAGATTAATCTGAAAGAAGCAACAGCCTGCAAAGAATCAGAGCATATCATCATAAGGAAAATCAATCATTTGATGCTTACATCGGCTTATGTCTCTATTGCTTGTCCAGGTTCATGCATGCAGTTTGAATGTTTAACCACTAACAAAAATAGCAACCTGAGATTTAATATCATTTACTAACTTTTAATAACTGATACTTGCGTACCAAAATTAAGCTGGCAGGACACTAGATATAGATATCTAAGCATAACAAGATTACATGGCCATGAACTGAGTTTAGAGCACAAAGACTTTGGGTTCAGAAAACTGAAACAATCAAAAGGCTAGTAACTTGACCTTCTCGATTGTGGAACCATATTTCTCTGCCTCCTCTTCAACAAACTGTAGTGTGTGGTAATCATCAGTCCGGATATTAGGAATCATGAGTTACCAAGTACAGTCAAAAATTACAAAACTGACTTCGAAAATACAATATAGACAGAAGAGTTGCAGGTGATTGAACTACAATACCTGCCCAGTGAGAGTATACAATCTATTGTACCAACCATTATTTGCTATTCCAAGCACCGAAAATAAGTGTCTACGACTTTCACCAGGATTTTGGAGTGTGTACTCGATGTAGTATAATCCTATAAAAAGAAATTAATCATTAACAGAAAAAACCAGAAATTCTAAAACACCTTTGTACTTGGAATAAACCCCTCATAAAACAAGCAAATGTAGACTGCGAGAAAAAGGACAAGAGCAACAACTCCGGTTACCGAGTCATTAAATTACAATATGTGAGTTATGACCATGCATGGACTGTTTAATCAACAACAGACAAGAGGTCTCCATCCAATGACTGAATATTTCTTCCACGCTGTCACGACATCATACACAGGAGAAAGTTGTGTTACCATTAGCAGCTTTGGAATCTATAAGTTTTGCTGCAACACCCGGTGGCCTTTGCCAGCTTCTATCCAACCCACTAACCTGCTTAGATCAGTTAAAGTGTACGGGTTAAGCATGTCAATATCACAACCATATCTGATGTAGGGATTGGTGGAAGCAAAGGAACAAACACCAGGAAAATAAGATCCTGGGGAGGCTGGCAAAAGCATAGGGGAAGGCAGTATTTGGACGAGAGGAAGAGCAGAGAAAACTCAAGATGGATAAATTTCCCACCAGAGTTTCTGCAAAAGCATCAACTTTGCCGAAGGATTCCAATCTGGTGAAATCAGCACCAAGGCCCGTGATCACTACGCTGACTGAGGGAATAAAGTGGGCGTTTTGTAAAATTCAAGAAGTCATACCGAAGATATGGATGGATGGAGCAGAATGTAGATTGCAACCAACAAAAATTTACCATTTGAATTAGAAGGCTCTTGAGGGTAGAAGGCAGTGAGCGACCTTATCCCATCACCCTCCCCACTGCCCACTTGCCAATCTGGAGATTAATCATACCTCACGAATAAAGAATCATGTTATGGGGATAGGAGCTGATTATAAAAGAAGCTAACTAAAAGCAGAAGCTGATTATAAAAATTTAAAGCAGAAGCTGGTTATAAAGAAGCTAACTAAGAAGCAAAGTGGAAAGCCTTGAGCCAAGATGCAAACTTGGACAGCGAAAGCATGCTGCTCCCGACCTTGAAAAATTAATGCATTTGCTTGAAATTTAGAAACGTAGATAAAGCACCAGTACTTAATACTACTAGCAAATTAAGAAAAATCTGGCATAATTGAAGTTGACGATTTTGGAAAAAGAGAATACTTGGTATTGATAAATTTGATAATGCGCAGGGATTTCAGAATTCACTCCCATTTAACCCAAGATTATGGTTATGGAAGCGATAAAGGGTAAAACTTTTTCAAGAAATGGAACACTAAGGATCGCATATGTAAGAGTTAATACAACAGCAAATTGTGTCGCACCAAATTCTGTCCAATGTGAGGCGGAATCAAAAAGATAGAAGAGGGAGGGAGGTAGTGAATGTACCTCGAGGTATCAGAATCTGGAACTTATTAACATCATCTGAATATACACGAAAGTAATCTTGTGCGGGGGCATCTAAAAGGCATTCCAGACGAGAGGTGAAGGTGTGAAACAAATGTTGCAGCGGTAGGAAAACAGTAAATACAGTGAAAAGAAAGATGGAAGCCGGGGAGAGGAGGAAAAGAGGGATGAAGGGTGTTGTTTATCTCTAAGTGTAATGTTACCGGTGTCTCTTGAAAAAGCAACAGAATTAGCATTAGCAATGGGAGTGGTAATTAATGCAAGAGGGAGGGAACATGAGCCAGCAGCAACGACACCCTGAAGCAACAGCACTCTCCTTTTGGTCGGCCGGGCAGCAGCAGATTGGTTTTGCTGCTGACTCCAGCCACTGTTCATGGAAAGGGAAAAAAAAAGGGAAATTAAAAAGCTAATCAATCAGCAAATGGTTTGAGATTGAATTATAGAAAAAAAAAATTCTGGTTTTAAGTGACAAAGACAATTATCCTTTTAGTGAATGGGGTGGGATTGAGGACTGAAATCCAGAACTAGGAAAACCACATGGTTAAGGAGAGAGAGAAGCGAATAATGGGGCGGAAAGAATACCCGTCATCGGTATCAACATCAACGTTGGAGCAGGAGAGATTTAAGGTGGTGAGGTAGGTGTTTCTTTTGCGGAGGCCTCCTGCAGAGAATTGAAGATAAATAAATTCTACTAGAAGTAGAGAGACCTCATTCGACTAGACTCAGTGACTCGCTACTACCACTACCGCTACTACGAGTACGTGGTGACGAGCAAAAGGAAGAAAAAAGAGACCATTGAGTTTGAAGGGAGAAGATGAAGATGGTTCAGTGGTGGTGCACAAGTGGGAGAGCTGAGTCAGGCTGAGGCGGCGGCGGTACTGAGACTGCAGGCGCAAGAAGAAGATGCTACAGCAGCAGCTGCGGAGGCCTTCAGCCACCAATGCCATTGTTGCCCAATTTGATTGTTTGTTTGGTTGGTTGGTTGGTTTGATTTGGTTATCGGTTAATCCCCACCGCGCATTTCATTTCATCCCTGTCTACGTTTCTAGCAGTATCAGTACTGGTATACTACTGCTACCACCGGAGTGGTGTGGTGGGTTGGTGTCTGGTCGGAGTCACCAGTCATGTACTCGTACTGCTCTCTTATCTTCTATCTAATCTAAGCTCTAAGGTGGTTAGTGGCAGTAGAGGAAACAGCTTTCTTTTCTCCTTTTTTTCTTTTTATTAAGGAGTATCTTTTAATTTTGTCTTTTGGGGGAGTGGAGTCCTGTACTCTCGTACGGACATCAGGAAAATAATTCGGCCCATTTTGTGCAAAATATATAAAATGTAATTTTATATGCATACGATATAACTCACTTTCAACAACGTGTAATTATAGAATAAATTTTTATAGATCCCACGCATGATTTGAAAAACGATGTACAAGATGAAATCTGAACCTTATATATACATATATATATATATATATATATTTTTTGGCCAAATATTGACCGTAAACTTTCAGGAACGGTTGTTTCATGCACGGTAACCCTGATAATCGGAGGAGGAGGCCAATAAAATTTTGTTCTATAGTTACACGTTATTAAAAGTGAATTACATCGTATGCATACATAGTTACATCTTATGCATTTTATACAAAATCGACCCAAACGGTTTTCTTGACAATCGTTCGAGTCTCGTGTCGTGTCTCCAACAATCAGTTCAATTTCCGCGTCTCTAAATTGGGGAGATGCATTTGTATTGATATTAGAGGGAGGTTATTTGGAAATTTTTTTTTTCGAATTACGAGCTATTATAGAGGAAATTTGTGTGATGTGATGTATGTGAGTATAAAGAATTTAAAAGAAAAAAACTTAGGGAGAAGGGAGAAAAAAGTTTTCCAAATCACTAACGACTTTGCTTTTTTTTTATACGACGGACATTATCTCAAAGGAAATTTCAGTTGAAAGAAACTAAATAATGGTAGACAGGCAAAGTATTAGTAGAAAGGACCATTTATTGATTGATTGGTAGGCACACTGCTAATCTTTCAGCAAATGGAAAGTGCGACGCACCCGCATTAGCATTAGCCTTGGACAAGGGTCAGTCGGGTAGAACTTATTTAGAAGCGCAGCGCTCTTAAACTACTCTCCCTACTAATTTAATTTAAAACTACTTACTACACTCTACAGAGATATATAATATACTATATGCTACTACCAGTAGTAGTAGTAGTGTATTACCTGATGTATATTTGAGAATATACGCATTTGAATTCCCTGTAACCTATCATTCCTTGCTGCCTCTATCCATATGATTAATCAATCTCTCAATTCGTTGGTTTCGGCGCTGTGTATACAATGTGCTATTGCCTAAATAGGAGCAGTATTTAATTTATTAGTGCTAATTTAGTGTGTTTGGATTGTAAGTTATTTGCCCAAATATATTTGCTTACATCACCATTACAATTTCCAATACACCTTTTTATCTTCCCAATTACCTTTTTATCTCACATACATCACGTCACAAAAAGTGCTACAGTAAAAATATCTCAAATAACTTACAATCCAAACACACGCGCATTTACAATTTCATTTTGATGAAAAGAATGATTTTTTTTTTAATTTTCAGCAACGACGCAGTATATCTGATTAGATTAAAGGGATTTTCTTCTGATACTTTTTTTCATTATAGATAGCGTTCGAACTCCCGACCTCTAAATCAAAGAGGGATTTAATCCTTTTTTGAGTGGTCACTGAACAACAAAACAACAGTGAAGCAAATTTTAGAGAGAAACTTTCACACACAGTACGTGTACGGTGGATGGATAACGTAATGCAATGAATATTAGTACTATTAATATATTACTCTGACCAGAGCCTATAAAAAGAGAAAAAAAAAAAAAAAGGAAAGAGGCGGAGGTGACTGCAATAATGCATCCAAAATGATCCAAATCAAAAGACAAGTATTAATTGGTCGTAATAATAATAGTAATAGCACAGCAATTTAAGCGCGAGAGTGAGCGAGTAGTACATTTTTTTTTTCTTTTTTCTTTTTAAGTAAGCAAGCAATTGAATGCCGAATCTCTCTCTCCCCAAAATGCAACAATAAAATATTTTAGGCCGCCCGCTACTCAAACTGAAGAAACGAATCCTTGCTAAAATGGGAAGAAGTAGTGGAAGATTCAGTGAGAGGTGGTGATTTGGGACAAAAGTTTACTTACCCCCGGAGATAGATAGATATCCGGTCCGGGCCTCTAATCCCTCCTCCCAGAAACAGAAAAAATCACAAATATATATATAAGTTAAAAAAAAAAAAAATTACACCGCACCCCTAATTTTTAATTTCACCCTCCCCACACCAAATCCCAAAACCCCCTTCTCCTTCTCACTCCCTCTCTTTCATACTGGACTGCTACTGTATTATTTACCAACCAAATTCTCTTTCTTCCCCATTCTCATCCCTGGATTCTATCCTCCGCCATTTCCGCTTACTTTTTTCCCCTATCTTTGTTGGTAAGCAATTTTCCTCCTTTTTTTTTTGTTTTTTAATTTTCTCTGAATTTTTTCTGTTGTTGTTAATTTTTTTTTTTTACTATTTTCTTTTCAATTTTGTTGTGAGTTTTTCCATTTCAAAAAAAAAAAAGAGAAAGAAGAAAAAGAAAAAGAAAAAGAAGAGAAGAGAAAGGCCCCTGAGTAAAAGACCCAAAAATCAGCTACTACAATTCTGCAAAAATGAAAATATCATCATCCTGGTCGTTTTGGCTGGATTTTCTTCCAGCTCTGGGGCTTCTGGTTTCCTGCCCCATTTTCGTTTTATTTGATCTGTTCAAAACTTCGGACATTCCTCCCCTGCACATCTCTTTTTTTCTGTTTCTTAAAAGCCATTTTGCTTTCCACTCCCACACCGACCATTTTACGCTTCTTCCTCTACGTTCCACTTTTGTTTTATATGTATTATGTTTTTTTGTTTGCTAGTTTTTTCACTTCTGCTAAACCTTGAAATTCCCAATTCCTTTCCTTCCCAAAATTCTACTTACTAGTATAAGCTTTCAAATTTATAAAGCTTTCAAATTTATATTTTTGTATTTATTTTTGTTATAACTAGCAGCAGCATAACTTGCATAGTTTTGTTTTTGTTTTTTTTTTTTTGTTGGGGGGGGGGGGGGTGAGCTTCGAAGTAAGTTTAGGGTTTTTTTTTTTTTTTTTGGTTGTGTGTGTGTGTGGGTGGTGAGGAAGCCTAATGTTCTTCCTCCTGAACTGAAGATCAAAATGTTAATGCAGCAGTAAAAAAGTTGACATTTTTTCCCCGTTGTTCCTCTCTCTTTTCAGGTGACCTTTTACTGGGAAAACATTTGTGCGAATTTTTAGAGCAAAAATGTCAGCGTCTGAGGCTGGAGGTGGAGGAGGAGGGGAAGTGATCACTGCTACCACCACCAGGGACAACACCTCATTCTCCCTCCCGTCCATCCAGAAATCTACGCCACCTCCTCCCGCTCCCCCCCAGCCCCAGTCCCTCCTCCACAACCTGTCTTTCGCCTACCCCAACGACCCACCTAATCTCTACAAACCTCCTCTCTCAGCCTCTTCCCCGCCATACCAGCCCGCCACCGCCGACTCCTCCGCCCCTGCCTCCTCTGGTCTGCTGCTTTCTAACAATGTCAACCTCAATTCTGGTGCCGACACCGTCAAGCGCAAGAGAGGAAGGCCCAGAAAGTACGGCCCAGATGGTTCCATAGCCATGGCTCTCGTGCCCTCTCCTCCTCCAACTGCTGCTGCTCCGCCTCCACCTGGCGTACATTTCTCTCCATCACTGCACCAGCCTCCCTCTCTTGCTGTTCCTCCACCTTCTGGAATGCCGTCATCACCGTCACCTTCCACCAAGAAGGCTAGAGGCAGGCCACCTGGTTCTGGCAAAAAGCAACCAGTTGAAGCTTTGGGTATGAATATCAGTTTTTTAATATTTCTGCCTCCATCTTAGATACTTATTTTGATTTTTGTCATGGCCATGGCCACCATATGTATATTTAATTTGTTTGTCCACGTGGTTTGGGGGCTGGTAAACATGGAATGTTTTTCTGCTCCAAGTTTGTCCCTTTTATTTCCTTCGCCACCTTCTATTCTGTGAAAAGCCTAATTGCTGTGGTTTATTTTAATGCTAGTACGTGGCCGACTGCAGAGACTGTAAGTGAGGGACGGAATATTGGTCATCCCTGGAAGTTTGGATCGGCTTTGATCTGGCTCCCAGAATCTTAGCATTATTCTAAAATTACCATTATGCCCTCCTTTCTGCTGGAGCATTTCCTCTTTTACCTTTTAGAATCCCATTACGTGTGCACTTCTCTTGGTCGTATAAATTTCCTCCTCACGTTTATTAATCTAAGCTTTTTTCTAATGCATTTTGAGATCCCTCTATTTGATGTTTCCATGATGATGTATGCTGAGTCTCTATGTTTATGTTTTTCTGGCTGTTAGTAAAACACAGGAAACATATCCTGAACAGGTTGTTTTTAGCCTTTCTCCTCCAATATTGAGTGGAAAATTTCTGCTTTTTAATATTATTATTTCTGCTCTTTTCTGTCCTGTTGCTCATTCTTGCGTGTAGAAGACTTGGACCGTAGAAGAAGTTCCTCAAAGCTTTATGGTCTTTACTTGGTTTAGATGCCTGTGGAGAAAATTGTTGCTTCTGGGAATTTGTATATACTAAAACCTATCCTTTAAATTTTGAGTCTCACTTTATGTGTGTAGATAGATTACTGAATGCCATTCTTTTGTTTCCCTGAAATCGTGGCTTCAATCGTCGGAAATTTTATGGCTAATGTACTTTGGGCTTATTAAAAAGTGAAAAAGTCTACTTATTCTGTTGGTTTTTGACGTCATTGCGAGCCTGATACTGTGTTCTTTTTTCCCTTCATATCTTCTCTCTCTAAAATTGATCTTTTCTGTTGTCAGAGTTGTGTGGCTTCGCTGGCTTGTATAGTTTGGGTATTGCAACATGAAAACATGTAGTTATTTTGCCAATTTTCTGAAATGGTTTCAACTTCTGTGTTGCACTAGCCTCTATTATTTCCTTGTATGTGTTCTTATACTTATTTCTGTTGTTGTTTTGGTTCATCCCCTGGAAATTGGTTACTGACAAAAGATTTTGCCTACAGGATCAGTTGGAATAGGATTTACACCGCATGTCATAACTGTCAAAGCTGGGGAGGTTAGCTCTTTAACTCTCTTCTTGCTAACTAGA